TTTAGAAAAAATTCATAAAATTGGATTATCTTCGATTATTCCTCTCTAAAATTGTAAGAATTTTTTTATATTCCTTATTTTTTATTTAATTTGAATTTGAAAATAGTACATATCAAGCAAGATTATTAAAAAAATAAAAATTTGAGACAATCCTTTTAAAAAAAGTATTAAAAAGTAAAAAAAAAAATTATCGATAATATGTTAATGGAAATATGGTTAAAAATGAAATAATATAAATATAAAGTTTTGAATTAGATTTATTTTTTTTTATACAAAACTTTATTGAAAATATATTCTCATAGGCTTTGAAATTATTGAAAAGTTATATGAATTCAAATATCCTCTTAATAATTTTAATTAAAATAACTTAATGCAGCATTTTCAAAATACTTTATCATTGAATTAATATATATACAAATTTGTCATGCATATTTGTAGAACAAAAGCATTTTTTATTATGATTTATTTTTTAAGATAGAAACAATTGAATGAAATAATAAAAAATTAACATTCAATTATCTATGTTCTGACTTTTGAGAAAGTTGTGAAAATTTCAAAGAAAATTTTATTACTTATGACTTTTTGTGAAGTTCAAAAATTTTAGTTTATATTTACTTCACTTTTATTGTTTTTCATGAATCAACATACATTAAGACATTCAACTTTTCAAGAATTATTAGAAAGAAATGTACACAAACCAAAAAACATTGAAAAGATCAAAAGAAACTTGAAAGAGATATTATCAATCATTATCAATGGATATGGCTATGAAGGAATTGAATCTTATTGTTCTATGACAGAGAAATACATAATATCAAGAACAATATATTATGATTACTTGTTTTTAATTGATATTGTACTCAGAGATTTAGCCGAAAAAGTTTGCCAAGAAAAATTGGATGAACTGAAAAAAACCACTCAAATAAAATTAGGCTTCGATGCTTCGTGGAGCCACCGAAGAAATGGTCAACACTGCCTTGGAATTTTAATGGATTTAAAGACTAACTTCATTATTTGTTTCCATCTTGTTCACCATGGGAAAGAACAAGCTGCCTCTTTAAGTTCCACAGAAAAGCATTCAAAAAATATGGAAGGCATTTCATTGAACCATATCATCGAAAGGACACAAATAGACTCCTTAAGCAATCTAACTTTCATTCATGATTGCGATCTCACAGATCATAAATTAATATCAGAAAAACTTCCTCTTGCCAAAATTAAATTTGACACAAATCATTTATGCAAAAAAACCAAGAAAATTATAAATCAAATTTGCATGAACGATCAAGATTTGAAAAACCTTAATGAATTAATTCAAAATTTTTTTTCAATTTTACTACATGACAAAAATTTTAATAATGAAGAAAAACTCCAGAAATGGGAAAGCATGCCAAACTATTTTATTGAACATGAGGATCTGGACCCAGAATATAATGCTAAAGCATTAAAAACACTAGATGAATTAATCTCAGACATATCTGATACATTTAGTAAAGTTGATCCAGAGTATACTACCAACCCAATTGAGTCGTTTAACCATTCTCGTGCTTCAATAGCCAGCAAAAACACAGCCTTTAGAATTAGCTGGAGAATCCGTGCATATGTATCAATCATCAAATGGAATGTTCCATATTGGAAAAAAGCGATCTTTGATTCTTTTCAGTTAACACTTCCTAATCATGTAATGTTACATGAAAAAGCTTTGGTAGAAACAAAAAGAAAGAAAGCCACAACAACAAAAACAGATGCATATAAAAAGAAAAGAGCAATCAAAAGAAAAATAAAAGCCAATAAGTACAAAGTCAGTTCAAAAGATAAGATGGTACACAATTATGCTGATGACATGCTTGAAGATATTTCTTCAATGGATGTGCGAAACAAAAGACGAAAAGGGAAGTTTTCACCCGTACAGCAATTGATTATTGATGCTATATCAGCATTAGCCACTGAAGATAAGCCATTTGTGCCGTACAACAAAATAATGAAATATATTACTACATACTTTGACACAAGCAAATATGCTCGACCTCAATTCGTAATTAGATCGCAGGTAACCAGACTAGTCAACATGAACATTTTAATTCAAAAAAGATTTTCTTTTAAGCTTGTTTGACGAAATCAATTGATGATCATCAAACAATTATTTGATAATAAACATTCTTCTTATTACATTTATTTACTTTTTATTCTCCATATCTTTTGCTTTATTATGTTTATATAAATCTATTTATTCTATAAGAGATATTTTAAAAATAAAAAAAAAATAAAATTCAAAAGTTTATACAAATTATATGTATTTTTCTATGGTTTACATTTTTAATCTTATGAAAATAAAAGAAAAAAAATATTGAAAAATATGGATGATAGAAGCATTTCTAGAGGTTTTTAACACTTGGATATGAAACTAGAGATAAATAGGAGATCAATAGTAGTATAACTGGCGTTTGGTCAAGAACCTATTGTATGGGATATACATATGGATTTGAAAAAACTGAAAGAATATGAAAGGTTAGACTCTTTTGTTGATTTTTTTTTGGTATTTTGATTGCTGTTCATGGACTCTTTGTTCGAATTTGGAGAATTCAAATTTGAATTTTCCCAAATGATAAATAATCGAAAAAAGTAATCGTTTTTTTTTTTATTTAAAGTTTTTTATTTCAAGATCCTTAAAAAAAATTATATTACATATATATATTTGATATATATATATAAACAATTTATATATATGTTTAATTAATAATATTGATAATATGCTAATTAACTATATAAAGAGATAAAAACATATGAATTCAAAATCAGTTTAAATTATTAATTTTTTCTCAAAATATGAAATTTATAACAGATTTGTTTTTTATTAATTAATATAATCAATCAAAATAATAGTTATATTTGCATGATAATATTTATACAATTTGTGAGAAAGAATTACTAATTTTGAGAGTGCTAACCCTTATTTTAATTCAAAAACTGAAATATAATATATAGAATTTATTTGATTATTTTTTTATTAGTATCTTTGGATATAAATTGGATCAACTATTAATATTTATTTATAATGTTATATTTATAAATATTACATTAATAATCATATCATTGGAGTATTTGATAAAAATTTAATTAATTTAATTTATAAATACTGGCATAAAATAAAGATATTTGATCAATCTATGTCATATAATATTATATTTATTACCTAGATATAATATTTAATTCTTTATGCCAGAAAAATATAGAGATAATCTGACAATTATGTTTAATTTTTGAACAAATATAATCTATAATTGTATATTAGCACGCAACAAAATATATTAAATATTTAGATATCATATATATTTATAGATATTCAAAATGGCTAAATAAAAGTATTTTTATATAAATGAAAAATATTCTCAATTTTTTGAAAGAATGTTTTTTTTATTCAATTATTTGAGGCAATTGAAATGTAAAAAAATTGATATTTTTACAAATTCTCTTGTTTATAATATAAAATATATTTTAACAAAACATTAAACAAATCAAATATATATATTAATGTATATATATATAAAATAATTAATTTAAAATTTTTATTTGAAAAGATATATAAATATTTATCATATTTTAAAGGAATTTCTAATTTGCCATTAGCAAAAACTCATAGAATATTTTGAAAGATATTACAAAAAGTGGGGAAAAGTTGAGAAAAGCCAACTTTACCCTTAATAAAAGGTTATGAAACTTTTTCAATCATGTCATTGAATTTTCACCTTTGTAATTTTTTTAAAAATCAATGCAATTCGTAACACTTTCAAATGGCATAAAAATGCCGCAATTAGGATATGGAGTATATCAAGTTTCACAAGAAGAATGCATTTTAGAAGCTCTTAAGGTTGGATATCGTCATTTTGATACAGCTCAATGCTATCTTAACGAAGAATTGGTCGGAAATGCAATAGCGAAATCAGGAATACCTCGAAATGAAATTTTTATTACTGGAAAAGTTTGGACCTCTCATTTTGGATATGAGGAAACTAAAAAATCTGTTATTGAATCTTTACGTAAGTTAAAAACAGATTATATTGATTTAATGTTATTACACCAAGCATTTTCTGATTATTATGGTGCTTGGAGAGCTTTGGAAGAATTATATGATCAAGGAAAGCTTAAAGCAATTGGAGTATCTAATTTTTATCCAGACCGTCTTATAGATTTATGCTCTTTTAATCGAATCCAACCAATGGTTAATCAAATTGAGCTTCATCCTTATTATCAAAGAAAAGAAGATCAAAAATGGATGCAAAAATATAATGTACAGATAGAAGGTTGGTCCCCTTTTGGTGAAGGCTTATGCGATTTCTTCACGAATCCTACATTAGCTCAGATTGGGAAGAAATATAACAAATCGATCGCTCAAGTTATACTCCGCTGGCAGCTTCAAAGAGGAATTGTTGTCATTCCAAAGTCATCTAATCTCCAACACATAAAAGAAAACTTTGAAGTCTTCGATTTCCAATTAAGCGAAGAAGATATGAATATTATTGCTGGAATGGACAAAGGAAAAACAGCGTTTGCCTCACAACAAGAACCAGAAACAGTTGAGAGAGTTGTCAAGCAGGTCAAAGATAAGCTTTTTGACTGACCAGTTTAAATAAATTCTTTTTTCGTAAAATAAAGTTTTTTTTTTTTTAATTACATGAAATAATTAAATATTACAAGAAACTTTGGTAGCTCAGGAGTCAGAGCGTAGGTCTCATGAGCCTAAGGTCGCGTGTGCGAATCACGCCCAAAGTAATTTTTTGTATTTTTTTTTTAATTGACCATAACCGATTTTTAAAGCAAGGTATTTAATAAATCTCATATCAATTACAATAATCACCAAATAAAAAGCTTTTCCTTTAATTCTTATTTAAATGTAGAAATGCGTAATTATTGGATTTGATTTGATTGTTTGAAAATTAGATTTGGTTTGAATATTTTTTGATTAATTAATAAACTCACTATTATTTAAATTATAACAAGAAACTTTGGTAGCTCAGGAGTCAGAGCGTAGGTCTCATGAGCCTAAGGTCGCGTGTGCGAATCAAGTCCAAAGTAATTTTTTGTATTTTTTTTTTTTTTTTTTTAAAAATTGACCGTAACCGATTTTTAAAACTAAAACTATAATTTTAATGATTTATATATTTCCATTCCTAACAATACAGACCATCTTGTCCTTGCTAGAAATACTCTATCAAAAAAAGAATTTCCATTTCCCAATTCTTTTCTAGAAATAAATGTTTTTAAAAATAATTATTTCAATTTTTTGAATGAATCCAATATTTCAAATAAACAATGAATAAAAATATTGATTGTTTTACTCAATGATACCTTGATAAAAAGAAAAGAAATACTGATATTTCTTTTGCATTAAAAAAATAATTGTTAAAAAAGATGACCGAGATTGCTCACAAAAAAAAAAAAAAAAAAAAAAAAAAAAAGCATTTATATATAATAGTCATGTGTTTTTCATGTTCTTCGATTAAAAATCAATGCTTTCTCATGATAAGATAATTCATACAAATTCAAGTTTCATTGATTTGATTTAATGAAGAAAAATATTCAATAGCTTTTAATTGGAAAACCTCATTTCCCCGAGGTTTTTGATAAGAATTTAAATCAATTCTTTTTTAATATGATGATTTTCCTTTTTAATATAGTTTTGCCTATTTCAAATTCCAACATATCTATTCCAAATCATTTTAATTGGAAAGAAAGTGATCCAGATTTTAAAGCAAATACTAAAATTATAGAACGTTATGATAATCTCAACTCTTTTAATTTCAGTAATGGTGGAGCTGTCTCTTGTTATGACACCAAAATGACGACCTTTTCATCATGTTTATCTATAAATAATTTTTTATATGGATATCAATCAGCTATACATGGTCGTGCGATATGCATGGATAATTCAATTATCTCATTTAGTTTTACCAATTTTATTAATAATACACTTAGCATTAAATCAAAATGATTCCTTCGGTTGTGCAATATTTTCAAAAAATTCTCAAGATATAATTAATAATTGTAATTTTACAAATAATACAATATCAGTCAATTTAATGTTTTCTAACGTAAAAGGTACAGCTCTTCATATTGATAATAATCGAGAAAATAGCAATTGTAATATTTATAACTGTCTTTTCAATAGGAACAACTTCCAAAAATTACGCAAGTTATTTAACTGGAGGCATTCTTTATTTCAGAAAGTGCATTGGCATTAAATACTGCGCATTTATAAACAATTACATTAAAAATCAAATATCAGAGGTTCGTGGTGGTCTTATTTATTGTAATTCAATGCAATTTTTTTCAAATTGTAACCTTTCAAACAATTGTATAAAATGTGAAATGGTATTTGAAGTTGTAATGGGCGGTTTTATTGATACAGAAAAGATTATGAATCTCGATAATTGTATTTTTTATAATAATACGAGCGAAATGAATAAATATTTTATTCATGGGAATGTTCTCGTGGCTAATTCTGTGATCAATTGAGTCAAATCCAATTTCACTAAAAATACTTTCTTTTCCCCTCTAACAGCAGTTTGTAGTGGATGTGCCTTATCTTCTTCAAAGTGGAAATAAAAGAATGTACTTTTATTGATAATGATGCAACCGAGGTCAATGACATTTATTCAATCATTAATGATAGATGTTCATTATTGATTATTGACTGCAATTTTGAATGTAATATCAAATCATCCAGAACAGAGAAAAGATCGTTGATTTATTTAACCCGTTCATTTAGTAAACTAAAATATCAGTTTATAAATAATAATGTAACTTTTTCAAAAGATTCAATACATAAAATGTCTCACTAAAAAAAAAAAAAACTCATTTAAAGTCTATTTTTATTTAAAAAAATTTAGTAAATTTTGAAGCAATTTATTAAAAAACGTTATTAATATTCAAAGAATATTCACAAATTTTGAGTGAAATACGTTTTTTAAAGTTTTTATAAAAATGAAACTAAAAATAATAATTCTTTAGTGATAATCAGTTATAATTTCGTAATTTGGGCTTATCATCCTAATTCAAAAGTTTTAATATAAGAGCATAATTGGTAAAATTATAATCAGTAATCTAATGTACCAATTAGATTTAATGATGGCATTTTTTATTTGAAAGATTGACTGTAATATAAAGCTTAAGAATATTTCCAAGAGAATTTTGGATCAATAATGACTTATTGCAAATGTGATTATTACATAGCGAAAAAAGTTTATATTATTTGTTTATTTATTTATGCATAATAATTTTACATTACTATAATAGGGCAATTTATTATTTTGAATCAAATCTGCTGCCAAATTATATGTAAGTTCGATCACTTCAAGATTGTAGCAATTATAAAATACGTTTTTTCCAAATTTTGAAGTGTTTGGTGGAATGATTATGCTTTCAATCATCGAATTTTCAAAAACACAATCTTCTACTGATTGTAATTCTGAATTAGTCTCAAAATCAATTCTTTTAAATTTTTTGCACTCTAAAAAAGCATTTTGAGATAAGCATTTCAACTTTCGAGGTATGAAGATGCTTTCAATAGAAGAATCATGAAAAGCACGGTAATTGATTGATTTTAATTCAGAATTTTCATGGAAATATACTTTGGTGAGTTTTTTACATTTTGAAAAAGAATTATTTCCAATCTCAGCCACAAGTTTTGGTATAAAAATGGTTCGAATTGATGTAAAACTAAATGCATTTTGTTCAATTGATTTTAACTCAGAGTTTTCATGAAAAAAAACTTTTTTGAGCTTTTTGCATTTATGAAAAGCGTAAGATTTAATTGATTTGACATGTTTGGGAATAGTTATATATGTAAATGAACATTCCTCAAATGTATCTGATTCGATTATCTCTAATTGTGAATTTTCATGAAAGTCAACTTTTTGAAGTTGATAGCAATGATAAAAGGCATAATCCAATATTTTTGTACAACATTGAGGAATAGTTATTCTTTCAATTGATGAAAATTGGAATGCATGTTTTTCAATCAATTTTAATTGTGAATTTTCATGAAAGACAACCTTTCTTAATTTTTGGCAGTTATCAAAAGCATTTTGACATATTTTTGTTACAGAAGGAGGAAGAATCAATTCTTCGATTGACGAACAACAAAAAGCATTTTTGCATATAACTTTCAAATTAGAAGCATTTGAAAAGTCTACTTTTGTAAGATTTGTGCTATATTCAAATGCAAACGGAAAGATATACTGTATGAATGAAGGAATGACTAGATTGCGTAAATCTCTTTTTGCAAAAAAAATGCTGTCAAATACATCTCTGTTTTTATTGGATTTTCTCATGATGATTTTGTCTTTGAAATACAAAAAATTCTTATTTTCAGGTGAAATAATAATATTAGAGAGTGATGGTGTGTAATTGAAACAACTAATGCTAAGATGATAAACTTTTTCAGGTAAATAAATTGCCATAATTTTTGTATTATAAAATAAATCACTTCCTAAATAGCAGAGATTTGAATTGGGTGAAATTTCAACTCGTTCAAGATTTTTGCATTTATAAAATGCCATATTATCAATTCTTGTAACGCTGGAAGGAATAGAAATGCTTTTAATCGAGCATTCATAAAATGCTCCATATTTAATTTCTTGAAGATTTGAATCATCTGTAAAACATATTGTTTCAAGCATCTGGCAATAATGAAACGCATAAGGTAAAATTCGTTTGATATAAGAAGGAATTGTAGCCTTTCTAATATCTCGTCGTGCAAATACAAGATCATCATAAACATCACTTTTTATATCTGATTTCCCAACAATAAAGCAGTTATTAATGTATTTATAATATTTGTTGTGAGGTGATATATAAATCCTTGTCAAATCACATGTTTGCCAGCACCATCCATATTCGAGAAGAGTGACACTTGCAGGAATAAAAATTTTTCCAATTTTTGAGCATGAAAATGCACAATCATGGATGGTTTTAACTTCCGAATTGTCTGGAAATGACACTGAATAAACATATTGATAAAATGCATTTTTAAGTATGTCTGTTATAATAAACTCTTCGCCTTCATATTCAATTGAACGTGGAATGATAAAATCACTGCAATCTCCAAATGAATAACCATCAAATTGAAGTGCAGCTGCTGTTTTTTCTTTTATATTCAGAAAATATGTCATTTTATTAGCATAGAATTGTATTCCTGTTAGAAAGGAAACGGTTTTAATATCATTTTCAAGACATGCATTTAGCAAATTATAGTGAAATTGCTCGTTTTTACTGTGAAATAAAAGATTAATTATTGATTGATAATTTTTTGTCTTTTCTTGTAACTTTGCTTTTAATGCTTTATCTCTTGTTTTTAATCTTTGGTTTTCAATAATTTTGGTTTTCTTGATGAGTTGAAGTATATTTTTCAGAACATCAAATTCTTCGTTAAGTTTCTCATATTCAACAATGTTAATGGAATTAAAATTTGGGATGATATGAAAAACCCAATATTTAATAAAAGATTTGATTGTTTCCTCTTGAACATCAGATTTAATGATATACTGAAACTTCAAATATAATTCTGAAAAGATGTTTATATTGATATTAGACAAAGAAGGGAAGTTAGATGGAATTAGAAATACTTTTCCTTTTGATATCAATTTATATGTTGTTGTGTCCTTCATTGATTTTTAATGCTTTTTTTTTTGGGCAAGAATTATAAATTTTAAATTTCTAGGTATAACTTTTTGAGTTATGTAAAGGTCTCAAAAAGTTGTAAAAATTAATGATGATTTTTGTGAGGTGCATCCCCTCATGATCAAAAATAGGCTTATATTGAAAAAGGAACAGTAAAAGAAAACATTGAATTTGTCAAACTTTTATTAACGAATGACAAATTTTTTATCAATTTTCATATAATATTTTTCATACTTTTTTTAAAATTATCAAAATCTCTCACGTAATAATCAAATGGAACAAAAGGTAGCATCATGCATTTGAAATAGGAAATCTTGAAATAGTAAAACTTTTGCTCCAAATAAAAAGATTGGCATTATTCTCGAAGATAGTCTCAGGAAAACCAACCTGCTATT